AATATAAAACGAAAAAAATAATAATATCGATTTACCTAAAAATCGACTAACATATAAAAAAAAAACTATAATTTTGGTCATAATACAATTCATTGATTCGCGAATTATATGCCAATCTCGCTGCATTTAAGCATACATTCCTATTTCTATTATAATTTTGCAACGCATTGCGATCTAACTGTTCACTATATTTGTAGTTCAAAATTTATTGAAATCCTGCGGCAAGTATAGCAATTTTCCATAAAGCTATAGTAATTTATTCGATTATATCGTCGGTTTTTTTAGCATGCGAAAATATTGAATAAAATATCGAGTTAGAATGTTTGAATTAATATTAGAAAAATTAATTTCTAATTTAATTTTTAATAAAAATCAATTTTTTTTATATATAAAAAAATTTATCGATAAAGTAATAAATATTTGTTCTTTTGTATGTTATATATATTGTAACAAGTAATATATATGAAATTTATAATTATAGTATATATATATGTATATATAGAAAAAAATATTACATATAAATTCAAAAAATTTTTTAATATTGAATTAGAATGTTTGAATTAATAATAAAAAAATTAATTTCTAATTTAATTTTTAATAAAAATCAGTTTTTTATTTTTTATATAAAAAATAACTCGAAAATAACTCTATATACTTATTAATATTATATTTCTGTTATGCATTAATTTATTAATATTACTTACCCTTGTGTAGATCCATATTGCAACGCTGTAGTCAATTCATGCTTGCTAAATCTTATTAAATTGTCATGCTTGTATGTCAGGGAAATATCTTCGACAGGATATGTAGCGATGTTTGGCATACCAGCAGCAAAAGATATACAGTTTGACTGCGATATGTAGAGATCGTCTGGAAATTTAAAACGTGATACATTAATAGGCAAGAATATCCATGCATTTTATTAATTCTGTTTAGAAAAGAATAAATTGATTTAAGGAGATAAAAAAGATTCTTGCGTTTATAATTTTCGTTTGTTACATATTTTTTCATTCAAAACCTCGTTGCGTTGTGGGATTAAAATCTGCGTGTATTTCTGTCTTTATAAAAATGTGATTGGAAATGTATGGAAACAATGATATATTGTCTTTGTTATTATATTTCTATAGATTTCATTATATTCAACTATATATATATTTGCTTAAAATTAAATATATCAAGTTTCATTTTTTTAATTCCCAATGTACGAGGAAGCAATAGTATAAAAAATATGTGAGTAGAAAATATATGGTATTATATAAAATTATATAAAATCGGAGGTGAACACTTTTATACGTTTCCGTATAAGACTTTGAATGCGTAAATACAAACACAGAAAATGAATGCAATATATATGACAACTTACTCAATCGCTTAATTAAGTTGGACTTTCGTTTATTGGCGGTTTTAGAAAAGAATTTAGTATGATCCATGATGAGAGTTATATCGCGGGCAGTACTATCACAATTGTGTTTAGTCTCTCGCCGATAGCTTCCGCGGTTATGAATATTATCGCCCTGACTTAATTCAACGCTCCTAAAGTTTTGACATTTAAATTGGAGACACCCTGTATATTCCTTAAAAAAGATTATCATATCAGCTTATATGATAAAACTAGTTATAGCTTGAGAGTCCTCATGATTTTATCTATATTTTATAATCATGTGCTAAGCAAATGGGGAAATTACGTCATCTAATGCTAGATTTTGTTATAAAATTATATAACAAAAGTCTTGGATTTTGAGCAAGGATGGCCAATTATAACGCCATCAAGACATTGTATCAAAAGATTATATGCGCCGTAAAGTAGACGTTAATAGAATTTTATATTTAATATTGCTTAATTTCTTCTCATTTGCTAGAAAATTAAACACAATTCATAAAAGAATAATTAAAAATTTACAAAATAATATCAAAATGTAAATTTGAAGAATTTATTCTGAAATAAACTCTTTTGCTATTAAAATGTGTTCGGAGGAAATCTCGAGTTTTTATTCCTTATAGTAAAACGATCTCGATATACTCGTATCTCTTGTGACATATTATCTTATAAATTATTTTATTATCTTATCTTGATCTATATCAACAAACTTTCTTTTCTAGAATATAATTGAATCATATATATATATATATTAATTGCGCGACGAATAAAAAATAAAATTTTTACTAGAACTTGATCAGTTTTTAAAGTATAAGATAATAAAATGTTTTAAAAATTTTGCTTTTTATTTGTCGCGCCATTAAACAGTATCGATGAGATGATACTAAAGAGACAGATAAAAATTTTGAAATATTAGAACACTATAAGCGCACGCCATTTGTTTTATGTATATGTGCACGGGAAAAAAAATTCTGTTGCTTCAATTAAAGTCTACGTCACGGGCTGCCACAGACATACATAGTTTATACAATGATATTTTTATTAGACCAAATATCTGAGTAGTTGTTTTAATAATCCAGATATTTGGTCTAATTAAAATATCATTGAATGAACTATGTATGTCTGTGGCAGCCCGTGACGTAGACTTTAATTGAAGCAACAGCATTTTTTTTTCCGTGTGTGTATAATTATTTACACATATTAATTCTAGTTCTCCGTTTTTTCAGAATAATTTAAATAAAAATTACACACGGATTTAATATTTAAAGTGTCAAATGCGTCACTCACTTATGACAAGCTTTTATTAAAGTAATGCACAGCGCAGCATCGAGACAACCAATCAGCATCGCAGAAAAGAGGTAACAATACTTGCGAATATCGATTTAACACTTTTTAAAAGTGGATATCTTAATGAGAGCTGCTTACGGCATATTATTAGAATATTATATGTGTGTGTGTGTGTATGTTATATATTAAGAGTTTCTTTTATATCTCGTGGGATGCTATCCAGAACTCTAAATAAAAAACCGGAATTGCAAAAAAATTTACCTTCAAAATATTTAAAATTAATTTAAAATATATACTTATAAGATTTAATATTTTTGTGTATATATTTATGTCGTAGTACATTAAATATTTTGGAAGCGAATTATCAATAACATGGTATGCGGCCTTGGCTGCGTAAAAAATAGCGCACTATTGTTACAGCCTTGTTATCATTCGCGCGACGACACTCGAGCAAGAACGTAGTCGTGCGAGACGCTCCGTAGAATTCCTTCTCTAAACGCGATCGCAATCAATATTGAAAAATTATTTACTATTATAATATAATTAATAATTAATTAACATTTCTAAATAATATGTAACTACATATATATATCGCGATGATAGATCTTGAATCACATATTTTGTAATTTATTCATTTAATCAAATAAGAATTAAAGTAATAAAAAACCAAATTATAAATTATCGTTTCGTTGCGGACAATAATTATTTTTTTAACAACACATAGAGTCAAATATATTATATACACGATGCTATATCATTTGACTTTTCGACGCTCTAGATATAATTTGGATTAAGAACATGCTGTAAAACGATCAAATCGCAAAATTGAATAATTAATATAACGATAAGCTCCGTGAAACATTACGTGTATCGTTTAATAAATAATTGATCTATAATTTAAAATACGTATATAATTTAATATTTCGCACATATATTTTATAGTACGTAAAATATTTCGGCAGCGAATTAGGACAATACCTAACATGGTATTTGGCCTTAGCGGCGTAAACATTGACGCAGGTAAACATTGTTTACGTATCACGGTCTTGTTATCATTCATACGAAAACACTTGAATACAATTGTAGTGGGGTGAGACGCTCAAATTCTTTTCCTACGTGTTATTATTCGCACGGCAATATTCGAGCAATAAAGTAGCAATGCGAGACACTCTGTAAAATTCCTTTTCTAAACGCGATCGCGATAAGTATCCGGAAATAATTTGATAAAATTAATAATTAATTATCTTTTATATATCTTAAATAATATGTAATTATATAGCAACGATAAATCTCAAGGCGCGTATTTTGCGTGATGTGCACACATATAATCAAAAATAAAAAAAATTATTAGAAAAACAAAAATAAATTAATAAAAA